GCCGAGCATAAGTTGCGCCGACTGAAATCGTCCGCGGAAGCGGACAAGAGAGGGTTGCTCCCTTAGCAACGAGTTGTTTGGCGGGATTCTCTGGATTGACGCGAGTGTATTAAGAGTTCAATAAACCGTTGTAGTTGATTTATAAACGAGTGTGTTATTCTTTTCCGCGCGAGCTCGCGAGTGTCTCCGTCTTTGCCGCAGGCGCGAGTGTAACAGTGAGCGCGAGCGTAACAATATTAACGTTATCACATCTCCATGCAGCGGTAATACCAAGACACATATGTATAACTAGACGCGGGGTCGCAAAAGGGGATTCCAGCGCGGGTCCCGTTGCAATTTTCTTTCTCTCTTCCTCCCGCGGTATCTTCGTCCCACCCATGATTCTCGCACGCGATGTAATTCGACGAAGAGAGAAGGAACGAAAAAAATTTAACACATAATGTATATTTAACAGACAATGTATATACATTTAGCACATGATTAATACATTTAACACATGATGTATATAATTAATTATGGAACGCATTGTGCACAATATGATCTGACGCGTAAGCTATGAGTTCACATTCAATAAGCGACGTTTTATCATACACCTTACGCAAAATATTTATCGCATCGTCTTTATTCACGATACAATTGTGACGTAAATATTCGATAAAATGCTTAAACTTATTACTAACGGCGTCTGTATGTTGACTTAAATTAAAGTGTACATGCTCAACGCAATGTTCGAGTTCAATCATAAAAATCGTAGTTGACGGTTTCATATATATATACAAGTATCATTCATCGTCAATTTTACAATATTTTTATTACGTATTTTTACAAGATCTATAACCAGATCTTGAATTCGTAGTGAGGACGAAACGCTTGATTGCAGAAATCGTTCAATGTCCATACATCTCTCGATGAACATTCTCCACATTCCATAAGGCAGGATAATGTGATTACCTCGGTTGTCACCAATAAGTAATTCCACATAAGATATAGATCCCACGCTGATCCCAATATCCAGGTATTTAAAATTAGTAGTTGTTAGAGCGAATCTTCTTCCCAGTATACGAGGCGTCGAAATATGAGACGCAATTCTGTAAAAGAATTAAAGCATGGAAAAACATAAATTAAGCATGGAAAAAAGGATAAATAATTTATTGAAACTTACGGTCTCTCGATCGCCTCATCCTTTAGTGGAACGTAGTAATCTATATCTAGTATACCCACTCTATTACCATGTCGTCAAACTTTGTTTTAAGTGCGCGTTTCAAAGTGCGAGTGACCCATCCATACTTTTGCCGACTTATATCTGTATCCTCCCCACCAGTGTTCACCTCTATATAGATCCTCTCTCCAAAGATAACTGATAGTGGCGTACAATGGGCGTAAAATTCATCAGGCTGCTCACCCGCTTGGTAAAAAAATATGGATC